CAGACCATCAACTGACCACCCCAGGCCACCCCAGACCACCAACTGACCACACCCTGAGCACCCCAGACCACCAACTGACCACCCCAAACCATCAACTGACCACCCCAAACCATCAACTGACCACCTCAGACCATCCCCAGACCACACCAAACCACCAAGTGACCATCCCAGACCATAAACTGACCACCAACTGACCACCCCAGACCACCCCCAGACCAACTGACCACACCCTGAGCACCCCAGACCATCCCAGACCAACCCAGACCATTGACTGACCATAAACTGACCACCCCAAACCACTAACTGACCATCCCAGACCACCCCAAACCACCAACTGACCATCCCAGACCATCCCCAGACCATCAATTGACCCCGACAAATGGACAGATGGACACACAGATGGACAGATGGACACTCACACACACACACAGATGGACAGACGGACAGTGATGTCCAGTTGTCCAGTTGTCCGTACCCTCAGGGTCCAGCAGGCGGCTCAAGCCCAGGTGTTGCTCGGCCGTAGTGAAGGCACAGCTGGACACTCGGACACTCGGACAGATGGACAGATGGACACTCACACACACAGATGGACAGATGGACAGATGGACACACACTCACACACACAGATGGACAGATGGACAGATGGACACACACACACAGATGGACAGACGGACAGTGATGTCCAGTTGTCCAGTTGTCCGTACCCTCAGGGTCCAGCAGGCGGCTCAAGCCCAGGTGCTGCTCGGCCGTAGTGAAGGCCAGCTGCAGGTTGTGGACGGCGTTGGACTTGGTCAACTTCTGGAAGTCCAGGAGGTCCGGCCTGAGGGGTCATTGTGGTCAGTGTGGTCACTCGGGAGTGACCGCAACACCCAGGAGTGACCACAACACCAACACGGTCACCACCAAGGTCATCGTGGTCATCGTGGTCACCTTGGTCACCCAGGAGTGACCACAACACCAACACGGTCACCACCGTGGTCATTGTGGTCATCATTGTCTTTGTGGTCACTTTGGTCACCCTGGAGTGACCACAACACCCAGGAGTGACCACAATGCCCAGGAGTGACCACAATGACCAGGAGTGACCACAATGACCAGGAGTGACCCCGACACCATCATGGTCACCATCGTGGTCATTGTGGTCACTGAGGTCACTGTGGTCACCTCTGAGGTCATCATGGCCACCACAGAGGTCAGCGTGGTCAGTGTGGTCATCTCTGAGGTCACTGAGGTCACCCGGGAGTGACCACAATGCCCAAAAGTGACCACAATGTCCAGGAGTGACCACAACACTGCCATGGTCACCACTGTGGTCATTGTGGTCAGTGTGGTCAGTGTGGTCACCTTGGTCACCTTGGGAGTGACCACAACACCCAGGAGTGACCACAACACCCAAGAGTGACCACTGGACACTCAGGAGTGACCACAATGTCCAGGAGTGACCACAACACCAACACGGTCACCACCATGGTCATTGTGGTCATCATGGTCTTTGTGGTCACTTTGGTCACCCTGGAGTGACCACAACACCCAAGAGTGACCACTGGACACCCTGGAGTGACCACAATGTCCAGGAGTGACCCCGACACCATCATGGTCACCACCGTGGTCATTGTGGTCACTGAGGTCACTGTGGTCACCTCTGAGGTCATCATGGTCACCACCAAGGTCATCGTGGTCAGTGTGGTCATCGTGGTCACTGAGGTCACCCGGGAGTGACCACAAGGCCCAAAAGTGACCACAATGTCCAGGAGTGACCACAACACTACCATGGTCACCACCATGGCCATTGTGGTCATTGTGGTCTTTGTGGTCACCTTGGTCACCTTGGGAGTGACCACAACACCCAGGAGTGACCATTGGACACTCAGGAGTGACCACAATGACCAGGAGTGACCACAATGTCCAGGAGTGACCCCGACACCATCATGGTCACCACTGTGGTCACTGTGGTCACTTTGGACGGCGTTGGACTTGGTCAGCTTCTGGAAGTCCAGCAGGTCCGGCCTGAGGGGTCAGTGTGGTCAGTGTGGTCAGCTCGGACACCCAGGAGTGACCACAACACCCGGGAATGACCACAACAGCCAGGAGTGACCCCAGACCACCCACAATGTCCACCCCACTGCCCACTCCACTATCCACTCATGTCCACCCAATTGTCCACCCAATGTCCACCCCACACTGTCCACCACACCGTCCACTCTCTGTCCACCCCAATGTCCATTCCATTGTTCAGTCTCTGTCCACCCAATGTCCACCCAATTGTCCACCCAATGTCCACCCAATTGTCCACCCAATGTCCATCCCATTGTCCGCCCCACCGTCCACCCCAATGTCCACCCAACATCCATCGCAATGTCCACCCAATGTCCACTCAATGTCCACTCTTTCCACCCCACTGTCCACTCAATGTCCACGCTACTGTCCACCCAACATCTATTCTAATGTCCACCCAATGTCCACCCCAATGTCCACTCAACATCCATTCCATTGTCCACTCTCTGTCCACCCAATATCCATTCCATTGTCTACCCCAATGTCCACTCAATGTCCACTCTGTGTCCACCCCAATGTCCACCCCACTGTCCACCCAATGTCCAGCTGATTGTCCACCCAATGTCCACTATATGTCCATTCCATTGTCCACCCCAATGTCCACCCCCCTTTCCAATCTCTGTCCAGCCCTGTGTCCACCCCACCCCAGTGTCCACTCTGTCCACCCCAATGTCCACCCAGTGTCCACCCAATGTCCACCCCAATGTCCACCCCAATGTCCACCCCAATGTCCATCCAATGTCCATTCCATTGTCCACTCCATTGTCCACCCAATGTCCACCCACTGTCCACCCCTCTGTCCACCCCTCTGACCACTCCATATCCATTCCATTGTCCACTCTCTGTCCACCCCAATGCCCACTCAATGTCCACCCCACTGTCCACCCAATGTCCACCCGATTGTCCACCCAATGTCCACTCTCTGTCCACCCCATCGTCCACCCCATATCCACCCCATTGTCCGCCCCACCGTCCACCCACTGTCCACTCTCTGTCCACCCCAATGTCCACCCAACATCCATCGCAATGTCCACCCAATGTCCACTCAATGTCCACTCAATGTCCACTCATTGTCCATTCCTTTGTCCACCCCAATGTCCACTCAACATCCATTCCATTGTCCACTCTCTGTCCACCTCACTGTCCATTGTCCACCCATTGTCCACCCAATGTCCACTCACTGTCCACCTCACCATCCACTCACTGTCCACCCCAATGTCCACCCCATATCTGTTCCATTGTCCACCCCACTGTCCACCCAATGTCCACCCACTGTCCACCCAATGTCCACGCAATGTCCACTCAAAATCCATTCCATTGTCCACTCTCTGTCCACCCCACTGTCCACCCCAATGTCCACCCAATGTCCACCCATTGTCCACCCACTGTCCACTCTCTGTCCACCCCAATGTCCACCCCAATATCCACTCCATTGTCCACCCAGTGTCCACCCCAATGTCCACTCTTTCCACCCCACTGTCCACTCAATGTCCAGCCGATTGTCCACCCAATGTCCACCCCAATATCCATCCCATTGTCCACTCCAATGTCCACCCCACTGCCCACTCCACTATCCACTCATGTCCACCCAATTGTCCACCCAATGTCCACCCCACACTGTCCACCCTTATGTCCACCCCAGTGTCCACCACACCGTCCACTCTCTGTCCACCCCTCTGACCACTCAATATCCATTCCACTGTCCAGCCAACTGTCCACTCTTTCCACCCCAATGTCCACCCCAATGTCCACTCAACATCCATTCCACTGTCCACTGTCTGTCCACCCAATATCCATTCCATTGTCCACCCAACTGTCCACTCACTGTCCACGCTGTGTCCACCCATCATCCACCCAATTTTCCACCCCATTATCCATCCCATTGTCCACTCATGTCCACCCCGCTGTCCACCCTATGTCCACCCACCATCCACTCTCTGTCCACCCCAATATCCATTCCAATGTCCACTCTCTGTCCACCGCACCGTCCACTCTCTGTCCACCCCTCTGACCACCCAATATCCATTCCACTGTCCACTCTCTGTCCACCCCAATGTCCACCCCAATGTCCACCCAACATCCATTCCACTGTCCACTTTATGTCTTCCCCAATGTCCACTCTTTCCACCCCAATGTCCACCCCATTGTCCACCCCACTGTCCACTCTCTGTCCACTCTGTGTCCACCCATCATCCACCCAATTTTCCACCCCATTGTCCACCCCAATGTCCACTCTCTGTCCACCTACTGTCCACCCCAATGCCCACCCCTTGTCCACCCATTGTCCACTCTCTGTCCACCCCAATGTCCACTCACTGTCCAGCCCTCGTGCTGACCACCCCAATGTCCACCCATTGTCCACCCAATGTCCACCCCACCCCGTGTCCACCCCGTGTCCACTCCGCACTGACCGGTGCCGGTGGATGAGGGCGTTGAAGGCCAGTCCGTCCCTCCAGCTGCTGGTGAAATTCTGGACATTGACCCCCGGGTACCTGAGTGGACACCGGCGGTCACTCTGCGGCCACTCACTGGTCACTCACTCATCGGTCACTCAATGGTCAATCATCGGTCACTCATTGGTCACTCAGTGGTCACTCACACCCATCCATTGGTCACTCAGTATCACGTAGTGGTCACTCATCAGTCACTCAGTGGTCACTCAGTATCACTCAGTGGTCACTCACTGGTCACTCACTGGTCACTCACTCGGTGGTCACTCGGTGGTCACTCATCAGTCACTCAGTGGTCACTCAGTATCACTCAGTATCACTCAGTATCACTCAGTGGTCACTCAGTGGTCACTCATTGACCACTCAGTGGTCACTCACTCACTCAGGGGTCACTCATTGGTCACTCATCGGTCACTCATCAGTCACTCATTGGTCACTCAGTTTTCACTCAGCGGTCACTCAGTGGTCACTCATTGGTCACTCAGTATCACTCAGTGGTCACACTCAGTGGTCACTCATGGTCACTCAGTGGTCACTCATCAGTCACTCAGTGGTCACTCACTGGTCACTCAATGGTCAATCATCGGTCACTCATTGGTCACTCATTGGTCACTCAGTATCACTCATTGGTCACTCAGTGGTCATGCGGTGGCCACTGACCGCTCACTCGGTGGTCACTCAGTATCACTCGGTGGTCACTCGGTGGTCACTCAGTGGTCACTCACACCCATCCATTGGTCACTCATTGGTCACTCATTGCTCACTCATTGCTCACTCAGTGGTCACTCAGTGGTCACTCATTGGTCACTCAGCGGTCACTCAGTGGTCACTCATTGGTCACTCATCAGTCACTCAGTGGTCACTCAGTGGTCACTCAGCGGTCACTCAGTGGTCACTCAGGGTCACTCAGCGGTCACTCAGTGGTCACTCAGTGGTCACTCATTGGTCACTCATTGGTCACTCAGTGGTCACTCAGTGGTCACTCAATGGTCACTCAGTGGTCACTCAGTGGTCACTCAGTGGTCACTCATCGGTCACTCATTGGTCACTCAGCGGTCACTCAGCGGTCACTCACTGCTCACTCAGTGGTCACTCATCAGTCACTCAGTGGTCACTCGGTGGTCACTCAGTGGTCACTCAGTGGTCACTCGGTGGTCACTCAGTGGTCACTCAGTGGTCATTCACACCCATCCATTGGTCACTCACTCACTCAGTGGTCACTCAGTGGTCAGTGGTCACTCACTGGTCACTCAGTGGTCACTCACACCCATCCATCGGTCACTCAGTGGTCACTCAGTGGTCACTCAGTGGTCACTCACACCCATCCATTGGTCACTCGGTGGTCACTCAGTGGTCACTCGATGGTCACTCAGTGGTCAGTGGTCACTCATGGTCACTCAGTGGTCAGTGGTCACTCAGTGGTCACTCACCCGGCCGTTTTCATCTGGCACCAGAGCAGCAGAGCGTCCTTGGCCGAGCGCGTCTCGCGATTGTCCGCAGTGCGGACACGGATGACCTGGATCTGCGGACAGCGGTCAGAGAGTGACCATCGGAGTGGACAGAGGGGACAGAGAGTGACCATCGGGGGAGGGGACAGAGAGTGACCATTGGGATGGACATTGGGGACAGCGGTCAGAGAGTGACCTGGATCTGCGGACAGCGGTCAGCCAGTGACCATCAGGGTGGACATTGGGGACAGCGGTCAGTGAGTGACCCCAGGGGTGGACATTGGGGGGAGGGGACAGAGAGTGGACAGAGAGTGACCATTGGGATGGACACAGGGGGGAGGGGACAGAGAGTGACCATCGGGGTGGACATTGGGGTGGACAGAGCAGGGGAGGGGACAGAGAGTGGACAGAGAGTGGACAGAGCGGGGGAGGGGACATTGGGATGACCCCAGGGGTGGACATTGGGGTGTACACAGGGGGGAGGGGACAGAGAGTGGACAGAGTGACCATTGGGGTGGACACAGCAGGGAGGGGACAGAGAATGGACAGAGAGTGGACAGAGAGTGGACAGAGCGGCGGAGGGGACATTGGGATGACCTGGATCTGCGGACAGCGGTCAGCGAGTGACCATCGGAGTGGACATTGGGGACAGCGGTCAGCGAGTGACCCCAGGGGTGGACATTGGGGACAGTGGTCAGCCAGTGACCCCAAGAGTGACCATCGGAGTGGACACAGGGGGGGAGGGGACAGAGAGTGACCCCAGGGGTGGACATTGGGGACAGCGGTCAGTGAGTGACCCCAGGGGTGGACAGAGGGGGGAGGGGACATTGGGGTGACCTGGATCTGCGGACAGCGGTCAGCGAGTGACCATCGGGGGAGGGGACAGAGAGTGACCTGGATCTGCGGACAACGGTCAGCGAGTGACCATCGGGGTGGACACAGCAGGGAGGGGACACAGAGTGGACAGAGAGTGGACAGAGCAGGGGAGGGGACATTGGGGTGACCTGGATCTGCGGACAGCGGTCAGCGAGTGACCATTGGGGTGGACACAGGGGTGGACAGAGCAGGGAGGGGACAGAGAGTGACCACGAGTGACCATTGGGGTGGACACAGGGGGGAGGGGACAGAGAGGGGGGACTTTAGGATGGACATTGGAGTGGACCTTGGGATGGACTTTAGGACGGACTTTGTGATGGACATTGGGATGGACCTCAGGATGAACCTCAGAGTGGACATTGGGATGGACATTGGGATGGACATCAGGGATGGACATTGGCCAGGACCATAAGATGGACATTGGCCAGGACCATGAGATGGACCTTGAGATGGACTTTAGGATGGACTTTAGGCTGGAAACCCACAAAACCCGGCATGGACTTTAGGATGGACATCAGGATGGACATTGGGATGGACTTTAGAATGGACATCCCCAAAACCCGGCACGGACTTTGGGATGGACATTGGGATGGACATCCACAAAACCAGGGATGGACATCAGGATGGACTTCGGGATGGACATCCACAAAACCAGGAATGGACTTTGGGATGGACATCGGGATGGACATTGGGATGGACTTTAGCATGGCCATCCACAAAACCAGGGATGGACTTTAGGATGGACTTTGGGATGGACATCCACAAAACCAGGGATGGACTTTGGGATGGACTTTGGGATGGACATCCACAAAACCAGGGACGGACATTAGGATGGACTTCACCATGGCCATCCCCAAAACCTGGCATGGACTTTGGGATGGACTTTAGGATGGACATGAGGATGGACATCAGGATGGACCTTGGGCTGGACTTTAGGATGGACTTTAGGCTGGAAACCCACAAAACCAGGGATGGACTTTGGGATGGACCAAGGAATGGACATTGGGATGGACACAGAGATGGACATCAGGATGGACATTGGGATGGACCATGGGATTGACCTCAGAGTGGACTTTGTGATGACCATGAGGTGGACATTGTGATGGACTTTGGGATGGACCTCAGGATGGACATTGGAGTGGACCTTGGGATGGACTTTAGGATGGACATCCACAAAACCGGGGATGGACTTTGGAATGGACTTTGGGATGGACATCAGGATGGACTTTACCCCGGCCAACCACAAAACCCGGCATGGACTTTGGGATGGACATCGGGATGAACCTCAGGATGGACATTGGGATGGACATCCACAAAACCCGGCATGGACTTTGGGATGGACATTGGGATAGACATTGGGATGGACATTGGTATGGACATCCACAAAACCAGGCATGGACTTTGGGATGGACATTGGGATGGACATCAGGATGGACTTCACCATGGACATCCACAAAACCAGGGATGGACTTTGGGACGGACATCGGGATGGACATTGGGATGGAAATCCACAAAACCAGGGATGGACTTTGGGATGGACATCAGGATGGACATTGGGATGGACTTTAGGATGGCCATCCCCAAAACCCGGCACGGACTTTGGGATGGACAATGGGATGGACTTCACCATGGCCATCCACAAAACTAGGCATGGACTTTGGGATGGACATCAGGATGGACATTGGGATGGACTTTAGGATGGCCATCCACAAAACCCGGCATGGACTTTCGGATGGACATCAGGATGGACATTGG